AAATCGAAAAATAAAAATAAAACCAATACTCCCTGACACAAAATTACTCCAATTACAATACAAGCAAAGTAGCCAGAAAACCAGCTGAAATCTGTTCTTAGCCCTATTAGCACTGTTCATAATCCTGTTCCTAGCACTGTTCCTAATGTTACCACAATCGAACTCTCTTACAGTTCACATCGGCTTCTCTCCGATGCCGTGTCGAGATCCATCACATAGGTTGTCGACTGTCTCCTCAACCTCTTCGCTGCCGTCATCGGTCAGTCCCACCGAACGAGCCGCTCGTCGTCGTCGTCCGCGTTCCGAACTTTATCGTCTTTTTCAGCCTCATTAGGCTAGGCTTAACCTCGTCATGGGCTCTCCAGATGACGCGTCCACTCTGCTGACTGGTGTGGGCTGCTCCCGTTCTAGTGCGATACGGGGAAGGTGCAAGCCCACCAGAAACTGCTCGGCAGGATTTCGAACAGCCTAACTCGGGACCATCTCCGAGGTCAACGGCCACTTCCCGAGCTCTTCGTGCTGACATCCTTCAGAACCGGAAAGTCGTGCTGCTCCCGTCGCTGTAGCAACACTCATTTCCCACTTCTTCACAGCTCAGCATCCCAACACACAGTGTCAGGTCATCCTCTGGAATTTTTCCTTCCGGTCCGGGTCGTGTGCCACGAGCCTTTCAGCGACTGATCTCTTGCGTCTATGTATCTGGTGCGCATGCTCTCGGGTGACTCTTTTTCTTCTCCCGCACCGTCGCAGCGCTTCCACGTTCGGCACGTGCCTCGAGCCTCTCCTTTACTAATGACACATGCGCTCTTGGTGCACTGAAGATTTCGCCTCGTAAATACTGGATCCCTGAGTGGGTGCTCCTGAAGGGCTTATATTTAAGCTCACTCTTGCCACCTACTTTACCTAAGGGCCAAACCTGCCCCGTCGCGGTGGTCTAGTGGCTAAAGTACCCGGCTACTGATCCGCAGGTCGCGGGATCGAATCTCGGCTGCGGCGGCTGCATTTTCGATGGAGGCTAAAATGCTGTAAGCCTGCGTCGTCATATTTGGGTGTGCGTTAAAGAACCCCAGGTGGTCAAAATTTCCGGAGCCCTCCACAACGGCATTTCTCATAATCATATGGTGGTATTGAGATGTAAATGCCACAAATCAATCGGGACCAAAACTGGTGCTGGAGCTTGTTTGCCCAGTAGAAATTTTTTATTGAGAAAGAGGTTTCTAGTATTACACACACAAAGCTAGAGCACTGAAAGATTACCATGACATATCCTGTACACAGACCCACTAAAGAGCCCGAAATTACCTCTGTGGTGTGCCTGGTTAAACCATAAGAAAGTATGTGGTTTAATTGGTGTTCTTTTTTTAATCAGAAGTTTACTTTGGAAAATCTAGATAGTCACCAGTGGCACTACACTAGCTCAATAACACTTTCATACACTCTTACACAACACGTTTCCACAGGCAGAGGCGGTTCTCACTATTGAACACAGCCGGTGCGACAGCGCTCCCTTAAAATCTACTGTATAAACACATGGCATGTAAACGAAACTATAGATAGTGTTTCGAGAAAAAAAAATGTGTTTGGGCTGTAGGGAAGCTTCTTGCCGCTTGTTCTTCAGCAAACACTTGGCATACAGCTGTGACATAAGACACATCTCCACTATTATAAGGTGCGGCTCCTTTGTGCACACTATCACCGCAACAGTAATTATTTTGGGCACACCTAAATGCCAAATTTCACGCGCACACTTTCTCCACGCTCGCAGCGAAAGACGCCGTCTGCTGGCAATTTTGACAACCGCCACTGGTGCGTAGCTTCCAGTGGCGCCCTTAGGCGCTGTGCATCGCATATAGGGATTCTATAGTTACTTCCAGAGGCACTGGGTCCCCCATTGCATCCTCCACATGTTTGAAAATTACAGCCGGAATGCTGCCACTCAGTGAGGTGAGACTACCAAAACACAGCTACAAAAGGTGCACGACAATTCAAAGCAAGCAGTGATGTCGCAGGAAGAGTCGTATCCAAAAGGGAACATTTTCCGCTCGTCGCCTGTCTGAGTTTTCAATTTCACATGCTAATAATTCAGTTACTGTGCAATAACTTTTATAATTATTTTAGTGTTAACGCGAGTGTTCAGCACAACACACTGCAGTGACAGAAGATATATAAAGACATAATATGTTGCAGGGCCTCTTTAAGTTGTATCCAGTAGGATTAATTAATTTATTTATTTATTTATTTTCAATACTGCAAGTCTCATTCCGAGACCATAGCAGGTAGGCGTACAGATTGTACATGCCGGTGGTACATTAACAGCGCAGAAAAACAGAAACAGGAATGTAGTGAAATGACAGTCATCACAAAGTATAAGAGCGAAAAATATACAAATTGTTTACATCTGCAAAGACAAAGAAACCATCACCAAAAGAAGAGAAATTTTGCATGAAGTGCAGTGGTACACAGGCAAACAAATAGCAAACTTCCAAACACTTCCAGTTAACACTTGTACACTCCTCTAATACGCTTTCACTGGTGGCGCAATGCTTCTGGTAATGCGAGTATTGCCGCATTAAGAGAACATATTTTCTAATTTTAGTGCAAAGTCGGATACCGATTTCGCACTAGTTATGGAGGAATCCAAACAGTTCCATTCCCTTATGGCAAGTGGAAAAAAGGAGTGCTTGAACAGTGTCATTGCGGTAAGAGTACTCTTTCACTGTGTGTGAATGTTTGTGCCTAATAACACGGGAGTCTGACGGACGAATGTACAATGATGGGTCAATTTTATAATGGTTGTAAAGTAGCTGAAAAAGAAATTAAGGCGCGCTTGTTTCGCTCGAATCGCAAGTGTTTGGAGGCCAGAGCTTGCTAACATATTTGTAGGAGAATCAGTGCGCTTATATTTATTGCAGATGAATCTTGCTGCCTTCCTCTGTACATTTTCTAGAATGTTAGTGACTGTATAAGGAAACCATACTGTGTTAGCATATTCTAATACCGGTCTTACGTAAGTAGTATAGGCTAAAAGCATGGTTGAGTGAGGGGCCAACCGAAGGCATCTGCGAAGATAAAAGAGCTTGCGCAGAGCAACCGAAGTAATGTTAGAAATGTGCGCATCCCATCTGAGGCTTGACCTTATCGTGACGCCTAAATATTTGTGCGCATTCACTTTTTCAAGCCTGGTGCCTTTAATGCTGTAGTCATACTGGATAGCTTCTTTTTTTCGGGTTATCGTCATGCACACTGTTTTTTTGGGGTTAATCGACATCTGCCACATGTCGCACCAGTTGGAAAGATGGTGTAAAGAATCGCTTAGTGCAAGGTGATCTGAATGACTGTTAATTTCTTTGTAAATAACGCAGTCGTCGGCGAAAAGCCTAATGTTGCAAGAGATATTGTCTGTGATATCGTTAATAAAAACAAGAAATAACAAAGGCCCCAAAACGAAGCCTTGTGGTACTCCGGACGTAACAGGCAAGTTTTCTGATGGTACTTGGTCATACAGGACATATTGTGAACGATTAGTTAAGAAGTCCTTAACCCAATTTGTTAATATTCCATCTCCAATAATACTTCGAAGTTTTGTAATTAATTTGTTGTGACACACAGAATCAAACGCTTTAGCAAAGTTTAATAGTATGATATCCGTTTGCGTGCAGTTGTTAATAGATAATGCTAAATCATGAACAACTTCTGTTAGTTGCGTGGCAGTCGATAAACCGCTGCGAAACCCGTGCTGGCAAGATGACAAAACGCCTTTACCTTCTAAAAAACGGTTAAGTGTTTCAAAATTATATGTTCTAATATTTTGCATGACGTGCTAGTTAAAGATATTGGCCTAAAGTTTGAAGGATTATCGCTATTTCCTGCTTTGGGAATCGGTGCTATTTTAGCTTTTTTCTAGTCGTCTGGAAGTTTTGCTACGGCGAGAGATTTGCGGAAAACCATACCAAGGTATTTGCTGCACCATTCGGCATATCGCTTAAGAAAGGGATTGGGGATGTCATGTGGTCCCGAAGATTTTTTGGGGTCTACGTCGAGCAAAAGAGAAAATATTCCTTCATCAACTACATCTATAGGGCTAATTCCAATATTATTCGTGTGTGCAAGCTGTGGAATTTTCCCGTCATCTTTTGTAAGAACAGAGTGGAAATAGTTGTTGTACATATTAGATTTCGCAGTTTTCTGTCGCAATGAAAGTTCAGGAGTTAATGTTGTATGTAGTATTACACCACACAGCCACTAGACACAAATGTTTGCGAAAAAATTCATTTATAAATTTCTGGTAATTTTTGTACTAAAATAGCATAGTGTTTGTCGCTAGCTTTCGAGGTCAAAAAAAAATCCCGGCAGCTATATTTTTGTCGAGTGTCCCATTAAAGTTGTACGGACACAAAAATTTTGATTTGGTTTTGTGTTTTCTAGCTGCATCGTGTTGCTGCAGGCCCATTAGTAAAAAAATCGGCACGTCACTTATAGCAACATGCGACATAATTAGTCTGTCTATTACTGACCGATCTTGGATTCAGTCTGGGAGAGCTCAAAGAAGAAGAAGAAGCCGGTGGGTACAACTAAGGTCATTCAGCATGTGAAAGAGTGCTGCCTCCACTGTCTGTCTACAGGGCATCCTTGTCATCGTTATCAACATCATCCGGTGGCAATGACTTTCTGCAGACTTCATGAGCGCCAATAGCGACTTGACACCATACTAGTTGCAGTGCTTGGCCGCAGTGTTGACTTACCAAAATTTTAGGGCCACTTTAGGCGTCAATGCTGCGAGGTGCGACGTGTAATGCTGGGTTGTGCACGTGAGCTTCAAAATGCGTATGAATCACCTTCTAAGCCATTATTGCAGTTGAGATTTGGTAGATAATATGCGCATGATCAGAAGGATCAACCTCGCAGGTTTTTCAGCGGCACAATTTCGTGTCGGCGCCTCCCTGAACAAGATACACATCAGTGTTATAGCATTCTGATTAAAGAAAAATGAAAAACAAGAGGCAGCTATTTCGGAATCTTTATTCGTAACTAAACTATACTAAATGTTGAAGATCTGTTCAGACTGCTTCTTCAATCAGATTGTGCTCATCAGACGCACAGTTCGCCACCACACTGCTGCCTCGCTGGACACACCTCCACGCCAATGACAGACAAGTCTCCAACGAGAAAGTTGTTCAGTCTTCATCCGCATACTTCTCTATAACAAGTCTTCGCTGACAGTGTAACCGCACTTGGAATCGTCCTTTATCTGTAACACGGTCATGATGTGTGGCCAGGAGTGTGACACGATCAACTTCCATGAAGTTTGGATTTTGCGCACTGAGCTCTAGGATGTGGTCCACCTCATCACCAACAGAAACCTGCACAAAAGAATGGCAAACAGAGTCCTTTTAAATCTGAGACACTACGTAGTAGGTTATTTTGGCCTGATTGAGTTCTGGCACAATAAAGGGGGAAAACATTTTAGCAGACAAACTCTATTGTTTTGAAAATTTTCCTTAACATAGGTGTCTCTTTTTTTATTGTTGATTTCAAATCATACTGTACTAAGAAGCAACATTTTGATGTCAAACTAAATATTTGTATAACCTACTGCAGGAATCGAACGTGCCCTTCTCTTTGGCGCCTTGTTCCCTCAGCTTGTGCAAGTGCTGACTGCGTGCGGCTTAAGTGCTGGGAACATGCCCACCGCGGTTTCACAGTCAGGCCAATTTGTTTGAGGAGAGCCACGTGTGGATTTTTCCTGCGGATTTTTCCTGCAACGAGACGCATGTCTGAACATGCCCGAACCACGCCTCCTCCTTGTGTTACACTAGCACACGTCTTGGTGCTCGGCTGATCCTCATTGGCCGCCCGTGACCCCCTTTCCCGTAGCTTGCATTTGCTCGGTGCTCGCCCGCCATCGGGCTGATGCACACAGGCCTGCACGAGAGGCAGACGCGCTGCACTCGCAGGCGGCTTCTCGTACAAGTGCTTTCCTGCTGCCCTTTGTGTGTTAGCCCTAGCACCTGCTAGCAAGCGTGCACTCGCTCGGTCTTGCAGAGTTCCCTGCCAGCCCGCAAGCCCGCGATTGTCGCACTGTGCTGTATCTTGGATAAATATAAACCCATGTTTGTTGACGACTAGCCTCGAATGCGATCTCTGTGCCGTGTTGGAGAGTCGACGAACCCGGCTGCAGTGTATTAGAGCGCGACGGCCGTAGAGATTGTCGAGTATTTTACCGTTCGCTACGTAGGGTAAGCCTTTAGCAAACCTAACTCCATAATAGGAACTCATGAAATCCAGGGTTAGATGGAATCCGGTCGAGAACTTCAATTGGCACAATACCTATTAACATTACATGCTCTTGTGCTCCAGGAAGTTAAATAATATCAAATTTAGAGTTCTTGCCCAGAATGACCCAAAATTAAAGCTGAGGAGGCATTGCACAGGAATTGTTGGCATTTGCTGACGAGCACTTCCGAGATGTTCTCATGATGAACAGCTAAATTCAGTGTCATCACTGTCTTCTTTTTCAGTACCAAACACAATATAAAAGATAACATTAGTTGGAAGCAGATGATGAAGATGAAAAAGGTTGTTTTAAGGTCAGTCAGTCAGCTGTTTTCTTGTCCTCTTGTTTCAAGCATTTCACTAGAAATAACATGTTTAGCAAACTTGTACACCAACTCGCTTAGCAACAAGGTTCTTTTGCAGTTGTCACAGCCACCCAATACCATGTTTTTCACCCGAAAACTGTGCTCCTGCTATCAATTACGCGCTTCAATGACATTCATTCTAAGCCATGGAAGATCACCTGTCATCCTGAACTAGAGAACCCAATCTAGTTGGATGAGCTCTGCTTGTCTACCCATGTGCTTAATGAAAATGATGTTGCATTTTCAGTGTTCTAGAAATATAAGCCACTGTGGCACAATTTTGTATTTGGTTATGTCATAGTTTTATTGTTTTTAATACATAATGTCTACTTATATTGGTCAAAAACTATCTAAGACACTTCATTATGCCCCAACTCCAATGGAAGAAAGACAGGAAGTGGCAGTCTTCAGGAAGTTTATATGAACCCCTGAAGTTGTATCTTAGATGTACAAACTCTGTTTTTTATCCAGCACACAGACTTCACTGTTCTAGATTGTGACAAGTGGTCTTATTACGCACTAGAAAAAGAAAATCCACTGAGGTGAAGCCAAGGCAACTACGTTTCTTCAGTTTCCCTACACTGGTGGACACAACAGTGGCACTGGTGCCCTGGTATCATTGCATCACTCCTCCACAGACTACTATCATTGTTTATCTCCTGCATGCACTCGCATCAAATGAGGCCTTGCTCCAGTTACATCTGACAAGGAAATGCCTTTGTTGTAAGCACATACTGTATTTGCTCACATAATTTGCACACTTTTTTTTCATTATTTTGAGCTCCGAGAAGGAGGGGCGCAAATTAAGGGGGGATTTCGTGAACGCATACGAAACAATGTAGAATATTCTTAACAAAGGCAGTGTATATCTTAGAAGTACTTGTTGTTGGGCTAGTTGGGCTAGGAGTGTTGTTGTTGGGCTGTTGGGCTAGGAGTCATTCTAGACACCTAATGCACCACAGAAAGAAATAATCACAAAGAAAGAGCGTCAACTCGCAACTGATTTATTTGCAGGAGAAACGCAGCAAATATATAGCCGCACACGCATGTGCAGAGCACACTACTTCATCCGGCATATCTAATCAAACAACGAAGCGCAAAAATCAAACTCAGACTTGCGCAAGACGACTGACGTGTCACTTATACACAAGTCACCTTTTCTTTGTCCAGAACGCTTCAATTATTTCACTGCATCGGGGCTTTTGGCGAGGACAGAAACGCTTGAAAACCTCGCCTCACAAGAACAGGAACGGCAATGCGCAGGCAAACGTGCTCCGGAATTATTTCGAATTGAGAGCTCATGTTCCCTAATTCTCACATTCAAACACCATCCAGTTTGGCCGATGTAAACCCGGCCACAACTAAGTGGGATTAAGTACACCACACCCACTACGCAAACCACATACATCGAAGCGTGTATTTCTCCACAGGTGGAGGCGCTCGATGTTTTAGAAATACGTGGGCATCGGCCAGTCAGCTTTCGTAGCGCAGAAAAAACAACATACACATTGTACCTGCTCCCCACATTCCTAAGGTTGTGCGCTACCTTATGAACATATGGAACAACTATAGGTCGCTTATACCTCGGCTGCCTGCATTTTCGTTTGCCCTTGAACTTTTGAAGGAGGGTTTCCGAAACGGATACAATGACAGAGTTAGGATAGCCAGCTGAATGAAGCCACCTAACCTGATTCAAGTAGCTATCCTGCATACTGTGATGGCAAGATCTCACTAGCGCTCCCTCAAGACACATGGTTGCAATGGCTCTTTTTACAAGTTTAGAATGAGCTGCATCAAAAGAAAAGCTCTTTGCGCAAACGTGGATGATATGCCCAGCACATGTGTCGCTCCGAGAACATGACGCTCAAGTCTAAAAACTGCAATTTATTGTCAGTGGGAAGCTTATGCGTAAACGAAAGGCCGTTAGCATGTTGTCTGAAAAGTGCTAAAATATCATTCACCGAACTAGTGGTGGCCGTCAGAGGGTTAGCGTTTAAAATGACTAAAAAGTCGTCCACGTACCGGAAGACTTTCAGCACCTTTGCATCGTCAATTGCTTGAGCTAAAGCAATGGTGCTTTAGACGTCTAGAATTACTCCGCAGTATATATATTAAAAAAAAAGGAAAGAAAATAGGTTGGAGCACGTACTTTAACGAGTCAAATTCGGTCATGCCCATTCTAGTTGGAATCACTGGTCAAGAAGTTTGATTTGGAATCATTGTCCACTTTCACTGCCCTGTAACAACGCTGTACGACTACGAAGCTTGCGGGGTAAATACGGCTGTTAATGGTGACTCTTGCTGTACAGATTCCTGCCCGTATTACTAGGTGACCTCCAGTAGTCCAGATTTCGAGACTTTCTCAACCAGTCCTAACTTCCGTCAACTTTGCGGCCCCACCCACTGATTACGGAATAGTCAGCTCTAATATCGACGAGAACGGTGACGGTTGTGGCTGTCAATAAAAACGTCGAGATCTCCAGTTCATCCCCCTGCGTTGCGGTTAAGTCGTGGCATCGAATCATGGACACGTCGATTTTCTATGCTGTTCGCAAGTGGCATTGCCAGGTCTTCTTCTAGCCCTGAAGTTTCCACTTCAGGTCTCCCTACTGCTTGCAGCGTGTTCGTCAGATTTTCTCGCGTCCTCTATGTCAGTGGAGGATGTTTGGTAGTTCGTCGTGCAGCAACTGCACTTTTGTCGGTTGCTGCCCTTGTTGTAAGGGCTCAGAAATCAGCCTCGAGCAGGGCCAGTGTACTGCCTGCGGTGCGGTGATGTGCATTGGCCAGGTTATGGCGAACGAGACGATCCTTAGAGTGTTCATTGCGCTCCGGCGAGATAGCAGTGTAGTGTGGCCTTGCACCTCGCTATGAAGCCGGCGTGTCGATAGCGAAACCACGCAGTCCCATCTGGCGATACTGGCAGCACATAGGTATGCCTGGCTTCACCACATTGTGGGCGTTGGTTAGGGGCATGCTAAACGTTAGTCTTCTCAAAGCGTAGAGCTGGCTGGCGGGTGGATGTATTGCCACCGGGTCATGTCATAGATGAAGAGAGCACACTGGATATTCAAATGAAACTTAATTCGGCCGATCTTGTGGCCAGCAAAGAGAAGGTTCAATTAAAGCAACACACGGGCACCGATAGCGCAAACAGAGTGTCGGCCGTCGATCGACTGACAAGCAACTAACGCCTTGTGTTGGCAAGTTGGTAGAGACAATTGTGCGAGACAGGCTTTCGGAATATCTCGAGCAAAAAGGGGCTTTCGCTCGTACTATGTTCTGATTCCGTCCTCACAAATCGGCACAGGATGTACTCCTGCAACTACACTAAGAGGTCATACAACCTGTGGCAATGAAACACAACGACAGGGAAATCCTCGCCTTGGATATGACGGGGGCCTTTGACAATTTTAAACACAGAGTCACTTTTCAACACCTAAGCCTCACTAACTGTGGTCAGAACACATTTAACTACGTCAAGGACTTTATATTGGACAGAGACGCCCTGCTCCGCATTGAAGACTCTGAATTCGGGCCAAATCAAATGGGTACCAGAGGGACACTGCAAGAGGCTATTATTTCTCCCATATATTTAATAATGCATTGATGGGCCTGCCATATCAGCTGGCAGGCATAGAGGGGATTCACCATGCCCTCTATGCCGATGTCATTACGGTATGCGCAACTCAAGGGAACTTGTGTGCCATTGACACCAGTCCGCA